TCAATGTTCGCATCTGGAAGGCCAAGGCTTCGGAGACTGTCTCTTATACACATCTAGATGTGTATAAGAGACAGGTGTGTGTGTGTGTGTGAGTGTGTGTATGTGGGTGACAGGTTCACATGTATGTATATTGTCCTCTGGGTGTTCATTGGGTGCAATTTTCATCCAGAAGGACCCAGCGGACAACATACACATGGGACGCCATGTGAGACCAGAGGTACCTATCGCTGAGTTTGGATGTTGCAACGACACAGCGAGTGGAGCGGTTCAAGTCCGTTATTCTAAGTGTATGCATGGCTATTGCGGAATGATGGATTTGGTAGGATTGGCAATCTATTTCTGATCCTTTTTTTTTTTCAATTTTAAAAGGGCGATGGCATAGAGATATCATTGTCGAACTGACCGCCCCCAGGTAATTCGGAATTATAATTCAATAATGTGATTTCATTCATTCATCCAGTCCCATCTGGATTTGATCTCAGGTCTGTATTTCAACAGTTCACAGGTGTACCCTGGTTCTATTCAGGACGCAGGAATAGATTGTATACGCTCAATGAGGACCAACGGGCCTAGCTCAGTTGGTGTACTCCCATCAACTGTCGAAATACAGACCCAAGTTTGAATCCCGATGCCAATGGCATAAAAAAAAGAAAAAAGAAGAAAAAGGTAAAATGAGGGTGCTGTCACGGTTTCAGTTTGAATATGCGTTTCATGGTTTCAGTCATGATTCTCGCGAATGTTGTGTCAAACCGTGGAAAATCGTGAATGTATACTATCCAGCTTTAGGGTCAGGTGGGGATGTGTTGTATTCGAGGGATGCCCCCTCCACTGGATTTATAGCCGAAATCGTGAGTGCGCCCCCCCCTCGTTACCCCCCAACAAAAAGAACGAAATATATGCTGAATGATATACACTGAATGGGTAGGCATGGCAGTGAAGTGCTGAATGCTGGCGGGCATAGGATGCAATCTTTATAAATTATAACGCCATTCTTTTTTGAAGTGTTGTTTTTTTTTTTTTTTTTTTTTTTTTTTTTTTTTTATTGGCAAGATGGAGGGGGGAACAGAAAATAGTTATACTCATTTTATTTTTTTTCTCTTCAAAAGATTTAAAAAAATCTAGTACTCGAAGGGCATTTTTTTGAACTGGGCAGCTTCTAACATTCTGGTATCCATGTGATCTGCAATCTCTATAACGTCATTCTCCCTTTTTTTTTTCTTCTTTTTTTTTTTTTGACTGGGCAGCTCCTAACATTCTGGTATCCATGTGTTTGGACGAGTACTTGAACTCATGATCTGTGATTTTTTTTTTTTTTTTTTTTTTTTTTTTTGACTGGTCAGCTCCTTACGTTTGTGTACTGGTCAGCCACACGGGCTGCGAAAGTTTGTAGCACCGTTCTTTTTTTTTTTAAGTAAGTCTCTGGATTTCACCTCGCCTTGTAGCACCATTTTTCTCTTAACTGCCTGCCTTTTCCTGACTGACTGTGCTCTCTGGGCCTTGGCCAGATGGGGGAAAAGAACTATCGCCGGATCGCCCAACCAACGGAGAAACTGAAAACTGGAGGCGTGGGGTGGTTTCGCAGGAGCAAATGTTCTGTTTCATATGGAGGAGTGCTATGTATGGGCTGCATTTCTGTGTTAGGCATGTGCCACCCATCCAAACATTTCCCTATCTAGATGTTTCAACAAAAAGAAGAAAAGGTATAGGACTCCCATAAATGCCTCATATCTCCGAGGCACACTTGCATGTCTCTGATATGGATGTCTCTGTCGACTCATATCTCTATTTTTAATAGTGTTAAATAAATATCATGTCAGTTTGGCAGGCAGGGCGTGTACACAGTGTTGCATATGTTTCAGACGATTATTTGACATGTCTTCTCTGTGCTTTTCCAGCGCATGTAGGACACGGAACAATCCAAGGCATATAGGATATGGTGGGTCTGTGCTATCCAAGCGCAAGGCAGCCTGGCAATCGGGGATCATCATTCCGTGTCCTGTATGCGTTGGATGACGATCTGACATGAAGGGCAAGGCAACCCACCGGTCTGGGACTGAGGGACTCTATAATTTGTCTGATGAACTGGAGCATATGCTTCATATCTGTTGATTTGTGCTTCCCTGTCTCTGCGTTCTCCTAGCGCAATACCGCCTGCCACTTTGGGATCGGCTCCCAACCAACCCCAGCAACAGGCCTGATATCGGATGCTTTGTGCATGCTTCATCTCATTTTTCGTGTTCTTGTCGTTGTTCTTCTTGGTGTGTGTGTGTGTGTGTGTGTGTGTGTGTGTGTGTGTGTGTGTGCACGCGTGGTTATGTACGCCCTGCATGTGATTGTTCGGAAGGCAGTGACCGAAGCATAGCCCTTTATGATCTTAGACTTGGTACACCATTAAGGAAGCTCGTCATGCAGGTGGGGATATTGTACTGAAAACGCTTTTCTGTTTCTTTGGCGCCCTTTTAATACGTGCAGTAATTGTTGTTATTATTGAATAATAAATAAGAAATTAATAATGCAGTTACGATTTATCAAAATTTGTCGATCTGTTTGCAACTTTGCATTTATCGTTGTTGTCAGCTCTTTAACGTGTTGACAGTTTGTTTATATCCTTGTCTTGCATCTCTCTCTCTCTCTCTCTCAACACACACACACACACACACACACACATGCACATGGTCACTTGTTTGCTCGACAACACACACACACGCATACACACATGCACATGGTCACTTGTTTGCTCGACAACACACACACAC